ATGAAAGTCTGAATGAGTTTTAGAGGAGAAGAGAGAGAGAGAGAGAGAGAGAGAGAGAGAGAGACTCGTTTTGAATATGTAATGCCAGTGAATATGAAAACATGTACTGTATTTCATACTTGTATTTATAAACATTATGAATATAAATGTGATACAAATCAATAAAATAATTTGATTTCTTTTCTATTATTTCTGTTAATTAACTTATTTGTTAAATCATTTGAGAAAATAAACGAGTGATGAATGCATTCAAACAATTCGCTTATTATTCATAAAAACAGCTAATTTTCAATGCAATTGTGATGTCTATTGAAATATTTTCGCACAATAAAGGAATAAAGGATTAGTTTTTGTGTATAAAATGCTAAATATTTCAAGAATATTCTTTGAATATAATTGAAATACAGTGTTTTGTGTGGGATTTTTATTCACTGTTATGTCAATAATATAACACCAAAAAACATTATAAAGTATTTATTTTTACAGACAATTATTGAAATAAAAAAAACTAAAAAGTAAAACAATTTTAAAAAATCAATTTTAATTAACTTTTAATGAATAATTGGTTGTTTCAAATGATAAACCTATTGAATTGATATATAGATATGTATGTAAAGTATGTAAAAATCACTGCAAATTAAGTGTGAAATTAAATGCCATTTATTTGAACATTAAATGCCAATCAATGAGGAAAATAATGATTACATGCAATAGTTTTTTATGTGTTTTTCAAATCTATTTTATTATTCATTTCATATTAAACCGCAAATGATATTAAATTTAATTACCGTTTGATTGCAACAAAAATGTAAATATTAATGAAATTAATAGTAAATATAATGTGAATAATATAATGATATCTAACCCGTCATTATTGTCATTGTTATCGTTGTCTTCTTCTTCGGTCTTCTTCTTGTCTTTCTTTCTCAAAGAGGAACAATTGGATCCCATCTTTCAAATCCAATATCCACTCAAAAACACTATTCAAATGACAATTAAATGCCTATTAATTTGCCACTCATTTCACACGTATTTTCGTACCGCAAATAGAAATACAATTATTGTTTCAAAAAATCACATTTAAATCACATTTTCATTCAAAATAAAAAACATTGAATTTTAAAAAACAAATTAAAAGAGTGACAGAAAATGTATTATAATTTTGAGACAACATTTGACACAATTATTGACACAACAAGAGGTGATTCACAAGACATTGAGGAAAAAGAGTGACTGATTTAGTGGTGATTTGAATGATACAAATGGGGGTAACGTTTGGATGCAATTGGGAGACAACAACAGACAGGGATCGACACAAACAATACAAACGACACAACAATTGTCACCAATTGTCCGATGGATTGACGCTTACCTGTAATGCGATCACAATTTGAGGCAAAACTGCGTTTAAAACACAATCAAAACAATTGCGAAAACAATTTCACAACAAATAGTGTTTAAGTCGTGAGAAACACAATTCATTCACACATTTCACACATTATTGGATCCAATCATTGAATCGTGGCTTTAATTTTGGGCCCAAAATAGACAGCATTTTGTAATAATAGAGTCATTGATACAACTGTTGGACGAAAACATTGGCCGAAAATCTCTTCACTCGTCTCTCTGTGTCTGTGTTTCAGTCATTCTCTCACAGACTCTGAGACATGAGTTTTATGTATCGATTTAGTGCTCATTTCAATGCATTTTCGGTGAGAAACAGTGAAAAGAGTGAATCCTTTAGTATTTGCTTCTCTCCTCTCATCTCTTCTCTCTCTTTCACTCTCTTCTCCTCTAAAACTCATTCAGACTTTCATTCAAAACACTATTCAATAAATCCAATCCATGAACACAACAACACATCCCATACACCAACACATCCATCAATTACGACAACCAAACACTCACTCAATCATTGATTCATTGGATTATAAGCTAACCCAACACTACATCCGATACATCCCATCCTCTCATCCCATCATTTAATCGCTTTTTATCCAATCATTTGTTTTATTAACTAATGTCTCACTTGTTTGACAATAGTTTCAGTTATTCAGCACTTTATTATCACAAAATACATAATCATTTATTATTCAAAATATTGTCAAATGTATAAGAATTTAAATTTTAACATCAAATTCAACCAAGAATTTTACGAATCGCAAGAATTTCACTAAATATAACAACTCAAGTATTTTTGGGATTTGTTTTAGAAATGTATGAATTAATTAATTAAGTAGTTTTATGAGAGAGTATATGATATTAATAAAAAAAGTTAATTATTTCTAATTAATAATTCTTAAACTATTCTTTAAGTTTTGTTTGCATTTTACGGAATATTTGGTTAACTTTTAATTTTCACGTTAATTATAATTATAGCAACTTTTAAATGATTGCCATATAATACACTAGAATCGGTGATTCTGTGATACTGTTATACATCCTGTTTAACAATAATTGTTATAATTATTATAATTTAAAAAAATTTCTTTTTCCTCTTCTCTTCCCCAAACATCTAAACAATTTGTTTCAATATTTTATCCTTAAATAAAATCAAATATCATTCAAAGTATGATCACTGCGTGAATGGCATGAGAACAATGCATAACATGTATAAACAATAATTAATACAAAAGTTTGTAAAATACAATTGAATTGACAAATCAGTGGAAATTCCTATTAAAAAGTTAGGCATCCATTCAATTGAACGTTAAGTCAAAATCATTCAATCGTTTGATTGAAAGCCAAATCTAATCTAATTTATTCATTACAATGGGTTTGTATGGCAACAACTGTCACCCTATAGTTTGTGCCCATTATAAGCGTAACGCTATGTAATAGACTGTCAAAAGAGACCAAAAGTTGGTGTGAAAAACATATAGTTTATGTTGAATCATGTGATTGGCTTTGATATGTGGTTTGTTGTCATTTAATCGCCACTGAATTGCATATCAATATTGATTGTGGTTTCGAAATCACGGCTTAATTCAAGTCCACATTTAATATACGGCTCATTGAAAGGCAACACAAACTGTGGATACGATGACACAATTGGTCCACAAATCGCTTAATCTGTAACTAAACACACATTTAGCGCACGAAATGTCATCAAAACTAAATTGTAATCATTTTTCTATTTCAATGAACTGTAGGTTTGTTTCGCCCGAAAAGTTTTACGTCAGACCCGTTGACAACGACAATGAACTCCTTATTATCGACCGACAGACCACTCAAATCACTTTAGAGGGTATGTATTGTTGTCCACTGTTAGGTCTGATTGACCACTAATTGTATCATTTGATTGCAGCCCCGAAAACACAGATTACAGGCATCGCTACATCCAAACTAATTCATGGCATTCTCGGTGTCGTTAGACTATTGGCCGGTATTTATATTGATTTTGCGGTCATTGAGCCTTTGGTTTACTATAAACTTTGTCCACACCTTTAGGTCCGTATTTGATTGTCATAACGAAAGTGTCAAAAGTTGGCGAAATTTACGGCCAATCGGTGATGAAGATCGACGAGACAGAGATCATACCATTCAGTCGGACGACACTCCACTTGACCGAAGACCAGAACCAATACAACAAGAGTTATCTAAATATGATTAAAACTGTTTTGGATTCGCCGTACTTTTATCTCTCATACACTTACGACTTGACTCACACTCTTCAAAGTCTTTATAATTGTGGTCCGGATTTCATGTCTAAATCGCTGTTTGAAAGAGTGAGTATTGATTGTATCACTACATCGTTTGCAATATTGATTGAGTCTATTCTTCGCCCGAAAGGCCGACAAACGTTTTGTATGGAACCACTGGTTACTGTCGGAACTGTCGGTTCGGTCCGAACTCAGCGCCTATTGTATTCCAGTAATGCACGGATGTATGCGCTCGTTATGCTTAGTCTTCAACAAATTGGTGTCTAATTTATATCTTTTTCGTGATAACAGTTGTGAACATAAATGCCGTTACAATCAATCGGAAGCTATTCGTGTGGACTATAATTTCCAGACGCTGTGTATACCGCGCGGGCACTCGAATGTTCATGAGAGGCATCGACAGCGATGGCCATCCGTCCAACTATGTCGAGACCGAACAGATTGTCGAATACGAGTCCTCCCAGAGTTCGTTCGTTCAGATTAGAGGCTCAATACCTCTTCATTGGACACAATTACCTGATCTGCGATACAAACCTCCGCCACAATTGACTCAATTCGCGAACCAATTGCAGAGTTATCACAAACATATCGACCATTTAATCAATAATTACGGGAAAATATGTTTAATTAATTTAGTCAATCATTCGGGACAAGAGTTGCCACTCGAGAGGGCTTTCAAAGAGGTCGTCAGACAATCGAATAGTCAATTCGTGAGATACGAGTCGTTTGACTTTCATCACGAGTGCCGCAAAATGCGTTGGGATCGGCTCTCTATCCTTATGGACCGCATTGACAACGAACTCAAAGAATTCGGTTATTTCCTGATGTCTGCCGATAGGTCTGCCCTCAGCCTACAAGAGGGCGTCTTTCGCACCAATTGTATCGATAGCTTAGACCGAACTAATGTCGCACAGGGTTTGATCGCCAAACACTGTTTGGAGTCCGTTTTGAAGCGCTTCCAGATTTTGAACAATTCGGACACATTGGATGACTACCCGGGCTTTCACTATCTCTATAGAAATGGTATTTAAAATATAACTATAATTTGTGTCATAAGTTGTTCACACGACGAATATAACGATTGAAAGGTTGGGCCGACAACGCGGACATCTGTAGCATTCAGTACGCGGGCACCGGAGCTCTCAAAACGGACTTTACCCGAACGGGCAAAAGGAATACTATGGGTGCCATCAAAGATGGTATCAATTCATTGGTTCGTTATTACAAAAACAATTTCGCCGACGGCTTCAGACAAGACGCTATCGATTTGTTTTTGGGTTATTATAAAGTGGACGAAAATGAAGGCAAACTCGTTAAGTGTCCGCTAAA